AAAAAAAAAAAAAATAAATAAAAATAAAAATAAAAATAAAAAAAGGGGGAGAATGGCCATTGCTCCAGGTCTATGCATAAGGCATCATTGATTAGCCAGTCCCCATTTGATAGACCCAAAGATTGTTTCTTCATGAGTTTGCTATTTATAATGTATGAGTGTTCAGAAAATCTCTGTCCTTTCTGTCTGCATTTTTCCTTAGGATCACTTCATTTCCCCTTCTGCATTTGGAGAAATCCTCTACAATAACTTCCTCTTTGACATTCCAAAGATCCTGGACCTCTGCGTGCTCTTTGGAAAAGGCAACTCACCACTGCTCCAGAAGATGATAGGTGTGTAGGATGTGGGACTGGGAGGATGCACCGAGGTGGCCCCCACATGCCAAACTGAAGGTTGCAAAGGCCAGCACTTTGACAGTGCCTGGGGATTCAGGGCACTAGGGGTAGGGAGTCTTGGGAAATTACTTAACAGATATGAGTGTCGCCTCAAATTGAGTAGGTAGTGACACTACCTAGGGAGGTGAAAACAAAACTGTGCCAGACAGTTCCTCAAGGATCTGGAAACTTTTTTTTTTTTTTTTTAAAGGGGCAAAACCTTAGGAGAATCACTTGAACCTGGGAGGCAGAAGTTGCAATGAGCTGAGATTGCGTCACTACACTCCAGCCTGGGCGACAGTGCAAGACTCCATCTCAAATTAAAAAAGAAGAGAGATAAGGCCTTGCTCTGTCACCCAGGCAGGAGTGCAGTGGTGCAGTCATATCTTACTGCAGCCTCACATTCCTGGACTCACGCTATTTCCCCAACTCAGCCTCCCAGGTAGCTGGGACTGCAGGTGCACACCACCATGCCTGGCAAATTAAAAAAATATTTTTTTAATAGATGGGATCTCACTGTTTTGTTCCAGCTGGTGTTGAACTCCTGGCCTCAAGTAATTCTCCTGCCTTAGCTTCCTGAGTAGCTGAGATTACAAGTGTAAGCCACCGTTCCGGCTTGAGAGTGTATTAGTAGTATGTATTTGGCCATGCGTCAAACATAGCAATGGGGGAAGTTTCCTCTGGTGACGAATGTAAGAACAACCTAAGCTAACCTTTACTGAAGCATGTTCTGGGGACCTGGCATGCTGCCAAGAACTCCACATATGCTATGTCGATTGGATCCTCACAGCAGCCCTGTAAGATAAGCGCTGTCATCATCCCCATTTACAAATAAGGAAACTGAGGTTAAAATGTAGGGGACTTGCCTGAGAGGACATGACTAATAAGTGACCCAGCCAGGACATGTGTCCATGTAGACCTGACTGTCAGGCTCTTGCTCTGCCACGCTTTGCTTCAGGGATGGTGGCACTGCCTCAGAAATGTCACGATTTGCATTGTTGCTGAGAGCAGGTGGGGACAGCGTTCATGGAGGGCTCTTTTGGGTTGCACAAGGAATGGATATTAGTAGCTGGATCCCATTAGCAGGCAGAGGGCCAGAAGGTTTGATCAGACACACACACACACAAATAAGTTAAGAAAAAAAAAAGAAATGGAAGCATGTGGGATGTTACAGAGGGAGCGCCCCAGTGAATTCCGCTTTGAATTGTAGCTCGTGGTGTTGGGCCCAGCACAGAGAGGTGTTCACCCGGGACACCCCTGCCAGCTCTCCTCACCTGGAGACTGTAGGACATAGTCTTCTAAATACCTAGTTACAAAACTGAGCTGTCCCTTGTAACAGTCACTTTCCTTTATTCTTTCCTACCTTTTTTTTTTTTTCTTAATGGTGAAAGTAATACATGTTAATTTAAGAAATATTGAAAGGATATAAAGTATAGAGAAGCAGGAAAGCAATTACC